TATATATATATATATATATATATATATAAAAACATTTAAGAAAAAGTTATTTTATTTTACCTAGTTGCCGTGGCAATATTTCTTATTTTTTTATTTAGTTTAACGTGATGTAATAGAATAACTAAAACTGAAATTACAATGAATATAAACTATATAGACATAAAAAAAAAGCTTTTTAAAAAAACATTTAAATAAAGCAGTAATATAATTCAATATAAATGATAGATTATATTATATATTAGATTAAAAAAAAAACTTAAACTTCAACGATAATTTGAAATTTTACCTTGGGTTAGGTTAAAATACAAAAAATTACTTAAACTAAACTAAACTGAATAAAATACAATATATATATATATATATATATATATTAGGGCTGCCCTCGATTAAAGATTTTTCTGGTCGACCAGTAGTCGTTTATGTTAAGCGGTTAGTCGACTAATCGCATGTAGCCTATATATTAATAAACCATAAATCATAGTAATGACCGTTTAACTGCCTGTGTAGTGCACGAATAAGGTTTGCCACACAGCGCTCCGGCATAAGTAATGATTATGAATGCATCAGGAAAAAAAAAGCTAGGAGACAGCCTTAACATTTTAATAATTCGTTGATAAACCAGTGTTTGCTGTATTTTCGGCTGCAGTGATGAATTGACGATCTCCTCAGTGGATGCGCCTATATTAATGTTTCATACAGATCACATCACCTGAGAATAGTTGTTTTCCATCTGAATTGGTTAGTTTAAAAGAAGACATTTCAATTTCTATAGATAGGCCTATATTTCTTATGCCTGAGGCAAGTATACACAGATATTATTTGACGTGCTCGAGTTCAAAGACCGTGATGTGACGGCAGAATGCGCACCTGGTTTGCTTTCATTATTTCACAAAATTACAAAAAAATTTTTGTTATTGTGACTGCACACAAATAAAAGAACAGTCTTTCAAGCTTACAAATATGTATAACTCAAATTTGTATGACCAAAAAATGTTAAGTACAAGTGATCACACCGGCGCGCGCTTCCTTGTTCCGCACAAACACTGAAATAGCGCACATTTTTATAGGTTAACGTTAGAGCGAGCGGCCATGTGAAGTTGCTACTACTTACATGTTTCAGATGCATATTTGAGGTCGATGAATGATAGGCGAGCGTTTGGATGCCCTGGCTGATGTCCTGTATATTACCGCATAGAGCAGCTGTTAACAATCTTTCGTCGCAGAATGCATGACTTTGCCACTTCCTGTGGATTTTTTTTTTCTTTCTTTTCTCCGACTAAGCGACTAAAAAAAAATGTGGTCGACTAACGATTAGTCGACTAAAAGGGGGGCAGCCCTAATATATGTTTAAATTATAAATAAGTTTATAATTTAATTTAAATTATAAATACAATTTATTTTATAATACTAAATAAAATAAAGCACACACATACGTAAATAAAAACCTAACCCTAACCCTAACCCTAACTAATAAAAATCATAAAACCCTAACAAAAACCTAAACTAAAATTTAAAACTGAAAATATAAAAATAACTTCCGAAAAATAATAGTATATATTATGATAGTACTTAAATAATACTAAACTAACACTGTCCTGGTCATATTTTACCCCCAAATCAATACTATATGTTGTTGATTTGGAAAATTATTTATTTCATATTATATTGGATTACATTTAAAATTATTTTTATTTTTTTTAATTCCAATAATGAAATATGCGTTTAATATAAAAATGAAAAAATAATCTTGTCCAGATAAAATGTTACATTTATTTTTAATTAAAAAAAATTACATAAAAATGTGCATAATTTAAATACGTATACGAATAATAATGTTAATAAATGCTTTAATATTTGAATAATATTTATTTATTTCAGTCTGAAATACTCTCAGCAGCCCTAAAATAGGTTTCACGTTCCTTTTGCAAAATGCTGTTGCATATTTTTCATTTTTATTTTGGAGAGAATATATGACCCTAACATGTTTTTGACAGTTTTTTTTTTTTTTTTAGGATTTACCCCCTTTATTTTCCTTCATTCAAATAAACAAAAAATGAGCATTGAGTTGAAAAGCATTTGTGAGAGATCCAGTGCTGTGTCTTGACTTCCCCATGTTTTGAACGTCAGAGGTGGAAGACGAGCTGGTCTCTGCTCCCGTGTGGTGGCTGCTTGCTGTTCTCTACCCTTCCGTTTGTGTGGTGCTGTGCGTCTGTGTGCTTCAGATGCAGCAGGACTGACTTTATGTGCTGGACCCCCTCATACAGGACAGCTCCAGCTCTGTGGGTTCAGGCGAGTTCACCGGGATTAAAGAACTGGACGAAATAAGCCAAGAGATCTCCCAGCTGCAGAGGTAACGCAGTACACTGACATCTAACGGTGATGTGCGCTATATTTGAATTGCCAACAAAATTCCCAAGACTTTAATTTATATTATATATTTTTCCTGTTATTTAATAGATTTAATAATCTAGTGCTGTCAAACGATTAATCGAGATTAATCACATCCAAAATAAAAGTTTTTGTTCACATAGTTTGTGTGTGTACTGTGTGTATTTATTATGTATACATAAATACACAACCATGCATGTATATATTTAAGAAAAATATGTTACGTTTATATATTAAATATATTTATATATATAATATAAATCATATGAATATAAATATATACATGTAAATATTTTCAAAATATATACTGTATGTGTGTGTATTTATATATACATAATAAATATACACAGTACACACACACAAACTATGTGAACAAAAACTTTTATTTTGGATGCGATTAATTGTTTGACAGCACTATAATAATCATACACACGCAACTTTATTTTTTATAGTTTGAGGTCAAATAAATGAATGAATAATTATTTCAGCAAGGACTCATTAAATTGATTAAAAGTGACAGTACAGCCATTTATAAAGTCACATAAAATAGCTTTTTGGAACTTTATTCATCAAAGAATCCTGAAAAATACTGAAAACGTATCTTGCTTTATACAAAAACTCGAATGATACTGAATGTGTACCATGGTTGTTATAGTTAACTAAAACCACAAAAAATAATAATAAAATATTAAAAAGTAAAACCTAAACTAGTTTTATTTCACTTAGTTGCCTAGGCAATATTTCTCATGTTTAATGTAGTTTAACTTGATGTAATAGAATAGCTAAAAGTAAAACTGAAATTAAAATGAATTTAAACTATATAGACATATTTAAAAAAAAAACTAATAAAATGGCAAAAACACAACAGAATTCCTAAACCTTTAACTACAATTAAAGTGAAAGTACAAATATATATATATATATTAGGGCTGCGCGATTAATCAAATGCGATTGTCATGAGCATTTTGATAGTAATGCCGGTTCTGTAATCAGCAGGAAATCATCAACACGTGCTTTCAGATGGAGCAGAATTTACTACACATAGCCGTAGTTCACTGACAAGTAACGCAAAAAAAGAAGAAAGACGAAGAAATCATTCGCGATAATGACAGCTGTTTGCATAGCTTCTCAGTGAACTACGGCTCTGTGAAGTAAATGCTGCTCCATCTGAAAGCATGTGAAAATACCACATTTAATAACATATTTTTACTCCAAACTCACCACATATCGTCTGTCGAGTGTTTGAAATAAATCCTTCTGTGAGATGATGTGGCTTCTTACACAGAATAAGGCACGCAACATATTTCATAGTATTTAAGCAGTGATAAAGGCATTGCATTATAAATATACTTTATTTTAATGAAAATTATAATAATAACTCCGATAAACCATTTATTGTCATAATCATGTGTTTATTAGTCACGTTGAATCAATAAAAACAATTAAATCTGTTTATTCAGCAACCTCTATAGCAGGGATCCTCAAATCTGGCCCACGAGATCCACTTTCCTGCAGAGTTTAGCTCTAACCCTAATCAAACACACCTGAGCAAGCTAATCAATGTCTTCAGGATCATTAGAAAATCACAGGTAGGTGGGTTTGATGAGGGTTGGAGCTAAACTCTGCAGCGCATTGGACCTCCAGGGCAAGATTTGAGGAACCCTGCTCTATAGGGATTTCCTGGGTTTCTTCTGCAGGTGTATTTGGAGTTTCAGCGCAAGAGCGCCCTCTGGCCTTCGGATGGAGATTTACTGCTGATCACAGAACCGTGCTTCACTGAAAGATACGCATGACAATCGCAGCTTCTGTCAAATCGCGATTTCGATTTATCGTGCACCCCCCATATATATATATATATATATATATATATATACATACTACATACATATATATTTTTTATGTGTCACTAACTATATTAATTGACTATATATTAAATGTGTTATTAATGATACATTTTAAATGTTTATTTTTTAAATCATTTTTTGATAAATATTCAAGTTTTTTAAAAGTCTTAAAATATATATAT